CTGTCCTTCTGTCACCTTGTAGGACAAGCCACGTCAGGGCGGGGCCTCAAGGGCTTCCCCCAGTGCCCAGATGGGAAATGGATCTGCAGCTTTTGATTTGCAGAAGGAGCCAGGAAGAGTGAGCTGGCCTCGGAATTAGGAACCAGTTTGGTTTCCTGATTTGTACTGTTTAGTATTTGTTATAATTTCACACCCTGAATGTTCACATATTTTTAAAAATCTGTTTAAATCTCACACATGTCCAGAGAAGGGAGTAGTTAAGAAGGTGGGGGGCCTCCCTACAATGGAACTTTAGGTTTGTCACTGTGATTAACGTAGACAAATATCCGTGCTTTCAAGAGAAGTAAGAAAAGCCAGATTTAACCCCAAGTATTTAAAAAAACAAAAACCAAAAAACAACTCCTTAGGAACAAAGACCAGATGTAATGCCTTAAAACGCTGCTGCTAATATTACTATTTTATAATTACATTATTTGTTCTTCAGTTTTTATTTCCCAGTTTTTCTTACTTTATGGTGGAGGAGAGATGAGTGTGACTTAAAGGAAGGAGAAAAACTGTGATCACTTTGTTATCTTTTCTGGTCCAACACTTTGCTCCTTATCTCTTTATCTGGTTGCATGGTTTCTTGGGGGACTGATAAGAGGCAAAACTTGTCCTTGCAGAAAAATGTCCTGGAATTCCTGGCGCCCCTGAAACCAGTGGCCATTCGAATAGTGAGAAATGCGCACGGGAACAAGACAGGTAAGGCCTGGGAGCTGGGCGGATGTGCAGGGAGAGGGCTGGCCACATGGTTGGGGATGTCCCAAGGCAGCCTTGTCCCTTCTCCTTGGGGTCCTCAGTTCTGTGGATGTGGCTAACTGTTCAGGACGCAGATCTGTGTGTGCCGTGTCATCCTTGCCTCTGGCAGCCTGGCGTATAGTGTCAGAATTTTCTCCTCCACTGTTCTAGTAGGTTCCCCTGTTCTGTTCATGTAGATGCCCGCAGGTCTGGGTTTGCTGGGCTAAGTGCATGGGCGGCTCTGCCAGCGGGCAGTCCCCTACCTCTCTGCACATGCGTGGTGTTGCCCCAGACCACATCTCCCCAGGTGTCCGCTCCGGGCTGTGAGCCTCCTCCCTTGGCCTTGGAGCCCTGGGTCTGGCTGCCAAGAGGCAGTGAGCATGGCTGGAAGGAAGGTGGATCTGGGAGAGATGGCTACCTGCCAGCCCAAGGGCTAACTAGGCCAGAAAGCCGTAGGAGACCAGTGGCAGAATAGCCACATTTCAGAGAACCATGCTAAGGCTCTGTGGCCACTGGGTGTCTGGACCCTGAGGTTGGGAGTGTCTTGGCAGGAAGAGGCCACCTGGGCAGAGTGGTCAGGTCTGGCTGAGCTGGCACCCATGGAGAAAGGTGCCCCTTCGTCGGGGTGGTCCAGTGCCCTTGCTGTGTCAGGTCTCGTCCCTCCCCAGCTCTCCCGCCCAGCTCACCAGGATGATGGTTCAGGCAGCTGTTACTCCTGGAGCTCAGCAGAGGACAGTGTGAGGGGC